GGGCTTTGTAACATTGCCCAAGCAGGACAGGCACCAAGAGGCCATGCAGCTGAGAGGCCAAAGATTAGAGAGACGCCTGCCTGTAACATGGCTGAGAAGAGGGTGCCTTGTCCAAATTCTACACTGTGCATTTTTAAATGGTTAACTTCCTTAATAAACCCCATACCCATGAACATTGATTCTGAGTTCTATGTGGCCATTATAATCGGTTATCAAACCCAGCTGAAAATGGAGCGTGTGGTGGGAGGGATCTGTGGTGTCAGCAGGTTGGAAGATGGAGGCATGTCTGACCATAGCCTCACAGGAATCAGCTTTGGGGGATGAGGATATAGTTTGATTCTCCTTCTTCCTTGTGAAACTGAGGTCAGAGGCCGCCCACACACCATTCTTTTTTAACAGTTGTCAGAAATGGAATGCCTTGTGATGACTTCAGACTCATTAGAAACATAGGGTTTTGTAAGAGAGAACAAAAGAGCAAGGGAAGTAAAACGTGATTCTTTAATGGTAACTTTGATTACTGTTACTTGTAATGGCTCAATGAATGGAATGACACGCTACATCTGAGGGGAGAAACCTGCTCTGGAGTCACCTGTAGCAAAAGCCAGGCGGGTTAAGCATTGGATGATTGATAGGGGCGGGTTAAGCACTGGATGATTGATAAGGGGCAGTGCCTACTGGATCTCCCTTGCCACATGCCCACAACCATAAGCTGCACATAAACATGCAAGTGGAGGGTAGAGAAAATTAAAATTGTTTTTTTGGTTTTGTTTTTGTTTTAAAAGGGTTTAGGGTTAGGAGTTTATCTGACTGTGCCACAGATATTAGATATTCTATCTGGTATTGTAAAATAGGCCTACATGTTTGATGGAAATCAATATGGCTATGATTACAGAAAGCTTCTAAGTGAACCTCCATCCCATATTTATTGGATATGCTAAAAGGGGTTACAATTTACCCAAAGGAACAGGCTTTCTTATAAGCCGGCAGCTTGAGTACAGAGTCATGGCTTTGGTTTAGAAAACCTAAGAGCCACCCAGGACCTTCCGTCAGTATATCTGCATTTGAAAAGGCATCCAAACCCAGCCGGAATGGCTGAGGATTCAGGAGATTTATATTTTTAAAGACCTAGAGGGGGGGGGAGGGAAGGTGACTGTTTGACATTTTGAATTTCAAGCAATCAGGTTGCCTTGGATGAATCCAGACAGAAACAGGAAAAGCAAAATCACTCTTGTGAGATCGAAAGTTAAAGGAAACCAGTGAGCAGTTTTGTATGCTCGATGTGGTGACCACCTGGGTCCCCTTTTTGAGTGAAGTGGAGAAGCGGCAGCAATGACGAGATGGGCTGAGTTTGGAGAGGTTCTGTTGGCAACCATTGACCTGGTCCACAGAGGCTAGAGATTCTAAAAAAGAGGAAGGAAAGGTTGGCTGGTCTGAAGTTTATGGAGTTGTGTGGATTCCTGAGCCTACAGGCACTGACCTACCCTAGGAGGCTAGAGATAAGTGAGAGACTGAGAGAATGGGTCAGCTTCTCAGAAGTCTGGGGAGGGTGTGTGGTGTGGGGTGTGTGTGTGTTTGTGTGGAATGTGTGTGTGTGTGTGTGTGCTCCCCAGCTTGCAGCTGATACTCATCTGACCTAGTTTGGATGGCTAAGGCCAAGTTGGCAAGGACCCAACCAAATGAAATGAGAAAGATGTTTGACACCTTGAGCTAGTGTAAATTGCTGCATTTTGATGGATTGCTCTGAACTTCACTTGACTTGCGAATGCAGATGCTCCAGATGTCAAAATAGAAGATTTAAAAATGCTTGGGTTGTTAAGGATGGACAGTTTAAAAATTGGATATCAAAACTGGCTTACAAGCATCATGAGTGGCGCTCACAGTAAAACGATCCCAAAGGGACTATGTTAACCTTTCCTGTGTGAAGGGGACAATGGCTTGAAGAACGAGGGGTCGTGGTGGCCGGGCAGGGCCCTGCATTATATCTGGCTAGTCTAGCCATAGTCTTTGTAACTCCCACCCAACAACTTCAATTCGTAAGTCAGGGCAAGAGAAGTGGGAGAGGGGAAGACACTGATGGGATTCTGTGAGTGGTTTTTAACAGGATTAATGGCAAGTGCCATCCTCCTAGACATACAAAGAGCCCTCTGAGAACCAGGAGCAGCACGGCACCAACTGACCGAGGCAAGGAAGGTGCTGCGAGGAGCAGCAGTGTTAAAGGCAACAGAGGTGGGCACAATGTCATCCCAAATTGTGCAGTGACAGCAGTAATCTACAAGTGCATGCACCTATGGTGGGAAGACAGAGGAAGGAGCTACAAGGCGAGGCTGGCTTGTCCCCCAAAAGCACCAGGCAACCCTGGACATCTAAGACCTTGGCCCAAGGCTTCCCTGGTCTGCGTGGCGGGGAGCCCCCTGAATTCTAGGTACCAGCTAAATACCTCTGTTTCCGAGGAGAAAGAAGCACCAGGAATGTGTTTTTCTTCCTGAAAAGTGTTTTCTTCACCTTACCATTTGTCTTATGGAGAAAACAGCACAGAAAAAGATTGATGAGATGTCATCAAATTTGACTGCACTTGCCCTAATAAGAACATCCTCTTTAAAGCCAGCCACCAGGACTACCAAGAACCATCCTAGTAATGTCTCCATTATCAGCCTGTCTTGAGAAATCTTAAATAATGTTCCACACTCAATAGCGATTCAGAAACATACACTAGTAAATCTCGGAGTGGTGGGATTTAAGCTCTCTGAAGTGGGACATGTCCGTGCTCGCTTCGGCAGCACATATACTAAAATTGGAACATACAGAGAAGATTAGCATGGCCCCTGCGCAAGGATGACACGCAAATTCGTGAAGTGGGACATGTCCTAGCTAACAAGGACTTACCTGGTACATCAGTTCAAGGGAAATCCACTGAAAAACTTTCATAATATAACAGCAGTGGAGGTATTCATTAAAGACTCTTTAAAAGCAAAAAAATAGAAGAATGAGACTACATCCATGGCTGTATATGTTTGACAGGACATTTCTACACATGTATTTACATGTGATATAAATCTACCTATGAATATAGTAGAGCATACAGGACAACGTTATGAAAACTTCTTAGCTATAACCAACCTCCTTGAGGGTAATGAGTCTGTGGACCTTAGTTGCCAGTGAGTGGCCACCTCAAGTGTAATGGTGTAACCTTTGGTCTCCCCAAAGATGCAAGTAAATCATTAGTCCAAAGTACTAATGGGCCACCTGAGCCCCAGCCTTCAAGATCCTGTGGCCAGAAGAACTAGATGGTACCCAGCTACCACTGTGGACCACTTCGGAAAGGGATCACAAGGGATAGAGTGGGAGAAAAAAGTGGGACAAAATTCAAAAGAGACCAAATGGTTGAACCCCTGAGACACCCTTAACACCTTTCAGGTTTGGAACTGAACTCACCCCTGTGACTCAACTTTCAAAAGATGAACTAGCCTAGAAGGTGAATGAACAACATCATCAGGGAGTTAAGCATTCCTCAGAACCATCAGCCAGGCCAGAGGCGATCAAAGGGCCACTTAAAGCTCAGAAGGCAGGGAGGGATATGAAAAAAATACATTGGCTGTACGAGCCCCCAGTAAAGTTTTAAAAAAATATGAGTTTTTATCTAAATATTCACTTAATTTGTTTTGTTGAAGACTCATCTAATTTCCTTACACAGAGATATGTAATCATTCTGGTAAAACATAAATGTAATATTATAATACCCTTTGTTTTCCTGGAAGACATGCTTTGACACATGCTTGTTGCAATGTTGAGAGCAGGCCTTCCAGGAGAGGGTAAAGGGGCAAGTGCTGGGTAATGGGAAGCACACAGGAATGTGTTCTCATTGGCACCTGGGTACACAGATAACTCAACAATTATCTTTGATCAATGAATTTCCTTGGCAACCCTGGGAACCCGTGCAAATGAGCAGGTTTGTTCCTAGACCCTGCCAGCCCTGTAATGCGGGATACATTTGACTTGAAGATCCTGTAGGCAGGGTGCTGTGTGTCCAATTTGGATGCGTGGGGCAGTCCTAGCCAGAGGACTCCTGGGCAATGGACAACAGCCACAGGTCTCCCTGCGTTCAGACAACATGGTCATTCTCACCTCCAGGGGCCAAATACTTGCCCTCATAAAAAAAACATGCCTTGCGCTTTTTACCAAACCTCCAGGTTGTCTCTTTCCAAACAGATGATCTGATCTATATCATCTCCTGGGGCGGTTTTTCAGCCTTTGTTTTAAATGTCTTGAGAATTCCTCTATGCCTAAGATGGTTTTTTTTTCCTGAGTAGTTATCAGTCAGGGAAGTCATGCTTCATCCTTTAAAGGGGCATTTGAAAAAATAAATAAATAAAGCGGCGTTTAGACTGTAGAAAACCGCCAAAGAGATCTTTCAGAACCCAACCTGGTGATTCATTGGTGTTCAAACGTAGGAAACACTTTACTTTTTAAAGAGCTCACTTGCAGCGTGCATGTGCATGCCTGTCTTGTACACAGAAGCTCCACGGGTTCTTGTTCAATGGGGAGCAGAGCCAGCTCTCTGCTGAAGCTCAACTGGTTCCACAGGGGGCTCTGACCAGGTTTCTGAGCAGCCAGCCAACAGAGGTCAGAAAGTGGAGCTCTTAGGCCAGTTAAAACCTCAGTCCCTTTCTGGGTAGCTATGCTCTATTTGACCACGGGGAAGCTGTTACAGGTCTTTTGCTCTTATTAAGGCTAATACTCAAAACAAAGGACACATCGCATTGGGTAAATCTGTTGCAAGGATGTTACTTTGGAGGACCACGGTGAACCTGACCATGGTACTTTCCATCACCTCAGAGACATGTGAAAGTTGGACACTGAGTAAGGAACACTGAAGGAGGATTGATGGATTTGAATTATGGTGAGATGGCAAAGAATCTTGACAGTACAATGGACTGCCAAAAGAACAAACAAGTCTGTCTTGGAAGAAGTACAGCCAGAGTGCTCCTTAGAGGCAAGCATGGTGAGACTTCATCTCATGTAATTTGGACATGTCAGGAGAGACCAGTCCCTGGAGAAGGACATCAAGGTTGGTAAACTAGAAGAGCTGCGAAAAAGAGAAAGACCGTGGACACAGTGCTTGCAACAATGGGCTCAAACCTAAGAACAAAGTGTTTTGTTGTACATTAGGTTGCGATGAGTCCTAACCCACTCTTACAACAAGGCTAAATCTGGGTCTACTTTCCTAAAACCAAAAGCCAAGCCCCCTGCCCATGCCAGTTCTGAGTCACCGGATTTCTTTCCCAAGCTACATTGGTACAGGAGCAGGCAGCTTCCTCTTTCTCTGGTGGAGCAGCTGGTAGGTTTGAATCGCCAGCCTTGCCCAATGTGCCGCCACAGCTCCAGTAATCAGTGCCATTGGTCAATCTTAACACCTGGAACGATCTTTCCCAATCCAAGGAAGGTGCCTGAGCCTTTTTCACACAAGGATTCCGAGGCACTGACAATTAGCCCAGACTTAAATTAGCTGAGCTGCTCACATCTAGAGTTTGATAGACTGGAGATAGGCTAGGTGGCTCACAGTCCAGGCCAGCTAGCACCCACTGACAAGAGTCAGGTACCTGGGCTTTCCCACTGGACTTGGCTGTCATCCAGTGACCTTGGGAAAGCATTTCCCCAGATCCTCCAAGTGGTAATTGACTTTCTTATCTATAAAATGATCTAGCACCTTCAAAGTCAGTGGCTTCTGAGAACAATGAGGCTGGGGAGGGGGAAAGACTGCTAGCTTAAGGCTCCAGTCTGCCTGCTCCAGGCAGTGAGGAGGGAGGTCCAGCTCCGGGAAAGGAGACTTTGAGGGCAACAGAAGCTTGACTGAGCCGAGAAAAAGTTCCTGCTTGGAAGGAGAAAAAAAGCAGCTCTCAACTGCTCTTGGCAATGGAAGCCTCCCCAGGAAGGGAACACATAGGTCATTTGAGGTCAAGTTTAGGGCTCCCTGCCAGCCACCAGGCAGGAAGGAAACTGCCTGGAATGCGGGGTCTGCTCCCCCAGCTCTCTGCCAGGCTCCCTGGCTGCCCAGGACCCCTTGGAGGCACCTTCTAGATGCAGCCATTCTGGCCTGGCCTCATGCAGAAGAGAAGCAGTTAAGAACAGTAAGAAACGGAGGGTGGCTGGAGAAGGTGGCCAAGGAGGACGAAGCAGCGGCTTCTTCTCTGACGGCTAAGCCCCCTCCATGAGGACCATCAAGCCTAGCTGAGATTGTCCTATAAATAGCCTATATTTGAAGACTCTTAATAATGACTTAGTACTCCTGGATGTACACACATCCGGGTCAGAGTTTTCAGGTTTGCATTCTTGGCCTGTGAGCCAAAAACTTTCTGAGAAATCTAACACTGATGATGAGCCTCCATCTAAACCACCAGCACCGACCACACGTCACTCAACATCTACAACATGTGGAAGGATGACCTTAAGAGAAAAAGAAATGGACAAAACTGGAGCCGAGTTTGTTGCTCACGATGATCCCATCGATGACCGGAGTAAAGCAGAGCCATCAGAAAAGAAAAGGAGCAGAGAAGATTGTTCATCCAGCCTGTCCTATCCAGACAGGCCTGCGGAGACAACATGCATGAAGGGCTGTCTTGTCTTTTCCTCACAGAAAGGAGGGCCCTGGACACTGGAAAACATCGCTCCACGGCTTTCTTTCCCCAAGACACACAGGGTACCTGCCTTTTGAATTAGTGTCTGAAACCAAAGGCATTTGGCGTGTAGTCAGAGCTGATTTCTGATCCTACACTGGAAAACTGTCCTGATGCCATCTTGCCAGGGAGCCCTGGTGGTTTCTCACTGGGCCGTCTGTGATCAGCAGGGTTAGCAGCTGCTCCCTGGGAGAAAGACAGGGCTTTCTACTCCTGGAAAGCTACAGTTGTGGATACGTGCAGGGCCAATTCTACCCTGTCCCACAGGGCTGCTACAAATCAGTGAGCTTGAGCTTTAATGCCAATCAAAGAACTGACACCGACCTAACTGCCAAGGTGAAACACCTTGAGAGGGAATCAATCTGGGAAGGCAAGGAGAAGTAGGAAGATAGATTGATTGAAGCAGACAAAAAATAAGGAAGACTGGGCTTATGGGAATCTTTGTTAGAGCTAAAGACTGGTAGATAGAAGGAAGCTATCCACCTTTTGTCCACAAGGAAAAGCTACTGTGAACATTGAGTTTGTCTGTGGAAGGGCCAACCCTCACTTGGTGTATCCACTGTACGTGCTGTATTGTTCTTCAGACATAGCTTTGCTGGGGTGTCAGCTCATTTCCCACATCTCTCTTCTTTTTCCCACGTATGCCGAATAAAATTTTGTTTCCCTCATTGTTATAGCCTTGTGGTCATGTTCCCCTGGGACACTTGGCTCAGGTGTTTTCTCCAAAGCCAACATGGCTACAACTCTTATTCCCAAAATTCTACTATCATTTCATGCCCAGCTTGGATGCCATTTGAGCCAAGACACTTTGTTGGTGGGTAGGCAGCCCTCTGACAGTCCGTTAGCCTTGCACGACACTGAGGGGCAAGTTCTCACCCCCTCTGGCCTCTCACATCAGGCATTGTCCTTCCTTGGCCCATGGAGCTCACCTGCCCAGAGTGTCCTGCCCTCTCTGCCACCCCAGATATTCGCCGCACCCTTCAAGGCTCAGCTGAACTGTAATTGTCCTTCCCAGAGCAGGCTGCCACTACTCTGTACCCAGAAGATGGCCTGTATGGCCTCTTATCCTCACACCATCAACACCAGCTGCTGTGGAGCCAACACTGACTGAAGGCACGTGTGTGCTCGCTCACATACAACTGAGCTCCAGAAGGTGGTCAGTGGCTGATTTTTTGACAGCGGTTCACCAGGCCTTTCTTGTGTGGGGCCTCTGGGCTGGGTGGACTCCGACCCTGCAGAGTAAAAGTACAAAGTCACTTTTGCATTCAGACATAAGTGAAAGGGGCATTCAGGGGACGCTTAGGGAAGTGGTCCAAGTTGTTGTGTTGGGCTAACCGCATGGTCAGCAGTGGCAACCCACCACCTGCTCCTCAGAATGACAAGGGTTTCTATTCCGGTAAAGAGGCACAGTCCTGAGAAATCCACAGGGACAGTTCTCCCTGGAGTTGCCATCTCTGGGGTGGTGATGAGTCAAAAGTGACTCGATGGCAGTGAGTTTGTTTTTTTGCTTGTTTAATTTTTCCATTTCTATCATAATATTCAGTGGTTGCTCACTGCTATATGCCAGACACTGGGGATACAAAAATGGCTAAGACTTATTCTGGGCTCTAACCAGCAACCCGAGTTAGCAGCTGAAGGCAAAGTTACAACCTAAGTTGCACCCCCCAGGCACCATTATCATCAGCTCCCTCCCTGACTTAAGGGTTCTGGGCC